ACAAACAGCCCAGGGAACACTCCCCAGCCAGGGAAAGGGCTGTGCCTACGAGGTTTTCACTGGCATGGGTAAGAGAGGGGAGAGTATGAAGTGTAGGAGTGACAGTCTCCATCTCCCCACAGCCCTGATGTCAGTCCCAGCCCAGCCCCAGGAAGGTTCTGATGCCTGGGCTGGGGATGCTGCCCAGCTCACTGCCTGGGGGTGCACAGGGGTGGCCTGGCTTTCCACTCAGCCCTCAGCTTCCCCAGCTACTGAGGCTTGCAGCCAATTCCCTCCTCACTCCCTCATAGAGCAGGGGCGTACAAAAATACAGACATACGTTTAAGCCATTGCCTGCATTTGGACTTGACCCTCCCTTCAGTCCATTTCTAACTGCAGCATTTAAGCCCCACAGATTTTCACTGCTAACTGGTCACAGCTAACATTCCTTGATAATCAGATGAACTGAAAAAGTTCTGTAAGATCTATTATGTCTCTGGCTTGTAAAATACAATAATTTCTTACTAGGTTACACTAATATTTCGTAATTCATTCTTAATATTATCCTTCAATAAAGCTCTGCGCAAACAATCTATCCCACAGGAGGAACTTCTGCCAGATCCCAGATGTCAAACACATTTTCTTCAAATACAGGAGTTCGTGACCTTTTATGTTTGTTAATGTGACGCCATGGAAATTATTTATAATAAATAAGCATATTTTAGAGTCAGGTGTTCCATGGGCCATTTTCAGTGATACAACAGCCTTTCCTGAAACAGGTCTTTCCTGTTTTGTTGTTGATTCTTTTTTTTTCCACTAACAATGAAGGTTCGGGAACAATTTGAAACCTTGTTATTGAACCAAGTCCAACTACTGCACTGAAAGGTAGACAAGAACTTTAAAGATAACTCATCTTTCCTATCTTTCCTGAAATCAGCAGCAGAGAAGGTTCTAACTTTCTCATTTATCCTGAACAAAGCAATTTTAAACTGCAGGCTGTATAAATAATTTGTCTTACAGCATCAAATCAAAGAGGAAACTACTGGAATTGTTTGGATCTAAAGATACATTTGATATGCCAACTGATTTTTGATGTATCAAGCTCATTTTAAAGCTGGGCTAGAACCACCTACCCACAATCTTACAGGTATAAGGCCCCTATAAAATATCTGAAGGTGTCAATATATTGATAACATTTAGTTTTACCATTTTTCGGTAGATATGACAATGTCCTCCCAAGCCTGTGCCAGATTAAGAGTATCTGGCTCTTAATGAAGTCAGGCAAGAAAAGGATACAATTAGAAAACACTGCAAGGAGCATGCCTTGGCTCTGTTATGTCCCTTTCTCAACTACACATAAAGGTTTATAAAGCCTCCTGAGTTTATTGGATTCATCATCTTGGATTCCTAGACACTAGCAGCAGCAACAAATGTCTCCTGAGGAGGAAACAGAACTGTTTGCTCCTGCACCTGCAGTTACTCCTATTCATCACTCTGGGCTGAAGCTGATGGCTGTCCAGAGCAGCACCTTTGTGCCTCAGTGATTATCCACTGGATAATTTGGAACCTTTCCTTGCCTTTGGACAGTTTGGGGCTGGCAGCCATTGACAATGTTAAAGGCCACTGTGTAGTGCAGAAGCAACCACTGCAGCTCACACAGATGTGGGACTGGCTGTGGAAAGACAGGACCAAAGTGTTCTGGTGAATGAAGGATGAGCCCTCCTTGGATTTATTATCATAATGTATTAATGATGTGTGTGAGCAAAGAAAATTTGTTTTATAGCATAAGGCAAAACATAACAAGCCAGAAAATCTGTTTTCAAATTCACAGTACATCAAATCTGAATGAGATAAAGAGAGTCTAATTTGAACAGCAGAGAATCTCCATGTAATTGCTTGTCTAGGCATTGTAGCAACATTTTCTAATGGTACTGGACATTGTGCAGTAAAGATGTCCTTCTGCAGCTCTGTGGGAGGAGGCAGCTGGCTGCAGTCTCAGATGGTGGACTGAATTATAACAGGTAATGTCAAGAAAGTGTGATGTTAAACATGCATTTGATAAAAGGAGAAAATAAAAAATAATAGTCACGGACTGGATTATAGCAGCTTTCTATAATGAAGTGTGTGGACCCCACCCAGCATCTGTGGCAGAGGGCGGGAGGTGTCAGCTAAACCCCAAGGTTATGAAGGGAATGGAAAAAAAACAGGCTCCAGCTGAGAGCACAGGACAAGGAGGATGAGGAAACAGTTTCATGTTTCTCCCAAAAAAACCTCAGGGGACAAAGATTACTGCTACAAAAACTTTAATGGTAGTAAAATCCTCTGGCTGCAGAAGTTGTTTGTAACTAAGGTGTATTAACTGCTTAGAGACTTCAGCTGAAAAGTACTCTGCTATTTCACTGAAATCTGAGTTGCGAAATCCTTTTTTTCTCTTAAAAAGTCTCTGCCTCAGAGAACTTAATTTAGTGGTTACACACCAAGTTTGGCTATGAGATGCTGTAGGCTGTGTGCTGGACTTGTCCTGATAACGCCCTGCTTTTAGGTCCTGATGGCTGAGCTCATCACTTGGCTATTGCAATATATACTGGAATTTAACTCTGATCAGAAGTACATCACTTGATGTTAGTTTCTGAAATTAGAACATTTCATAAGTAGTAGTGTTAAATGCTTGCTTGCTCTTAAGGATTCTCAGCTGGGAGAGAGCTGGGAAGGCTATTTGGAATCATCAGTTGCTTAATTTCATGTAATTCTTCATAAACTAGGCAAGAACTTCTAAGCAATTATGTTTTCCACTTTCCTGCTTAAAAGATTTCAGTGTGCTCTGTGCAAACATTGATTCAACCTCTGAACCTTTTGATTTTTAACATGGAAGTTGGCATGTCAGTAAGTGTGCACGGGTGGTGGGATCAGGTTTCTGATGCAAAGGATCACGAGGGAGAATTCAGTCTGGATTTACAAAAAGCTGCAGCCTCCATCAGCATTCCTGCTGAAAACTGTGTTCACTGGTGCATTTGCACAGAGTGAAGAAAAAGGGTCTTAATCTGTTTGAAAGTGTTTGCAGATGTAAATAATTACTCAAGATTTGTGTCAGTATTTACACATGGGTTTTTTATTATTTTAGGTCCAGTTCCTAAATGTTTGAGGCCCAGAGATGATAATATAGACTCCTGCTTGCGGCTACTTTCTATAGTCTTCTGGCTACTTCTCCTTCAACAAGAAAAACACTGGGAACTTGTAATCCAATAGCATAAACAGGCTCAGCAACAAGTGAAAAAGTCTGCAGTGCAGAGGTTCAAAACAGATGAGACAGGCCTCGCTGGGGAATATGAGAGGTGAAGCATAGCCCAGACTAATAAATTCTCTTCTATTGGCCCTGCATGAGTCTGCTCAAGTATTTCAGCCCTGCATTTCTGGAGCTGAGAGTGCTGTGGTTTGGCAGAACCAGCCAAAAGCAGCCCAGTTTATTAGCTCAGTCTTCGTACTGGGGATGCCTGGGGTGGAAGCAGCATAAGGAGCAAGAGCAGCTGCAGAGAACCAGGAATCAGTGAGGATGAGTGGTTGCAATGAAAGTCTGGAATGGTCACCAGAGGAGAGGGGGCTGACAGCAGGAGTCAGTGAGGCACGGGAACCATCACCATCTTTCTCAAGCGAGGTTTTTTTTTTTTTAGAAAGATGCAGCAGAGCATGGAGCGCTCTGGGTGCTGCCAGGAGGCTGGCAGGGAAGGAAGATCATATTTGCAGCTGACAAGAAAAGAGGTAAATTGGTTTCACTGCTGATCTTCAGACTAGATTTGTTTGGAACAAAAATCTTTTAAGGAAGTGAGGGAGGTTTGTCTCTCATCCCAGCTGAAAACATCACAGGACAGTAACATGCTCTTAAGATCCACACAAGATCAGGTAGTCCACATCCCTTACCATGCCCAGCTGAATTTTGTGCTTATTGAAACAAACTCCCCAATTTTCAAACAGCTGAAAAGAAGACTGAAATGTGTCCCAAACCACCAAAAGAGCCATAGAGATGTGTTAATAGGCCCCCTCAAATTACAGGGTGCAGTCTTGCCTCGATGAAGAAGGAAGGTCATATTGCAAACTGGTTTTTTTCCTTTAACTGCCTTGTCAAAAATACTGGTTTTAATGTCTTTTCCTTCATCAGAGATGCAGCCTGCAGTCCCAATGGATGGCTGCTACTGCACTGCAACTCCAGCAGCTGGAGAGCCCTTTAGGCAGGATTTGAGGTCGTTGAGAACCCAAAAATCCCTTGAGCATGACAATGCCGGGGTAACTTGACAGCAGCAAGCTACATACAGGGGCCTTATCAGTAGTTAAACAACACACTTCTGTGAAGAGTGAAAATAAAGCTGTTCGGTCATGTAAATTAATTCAGTGAGATGCCTTGAAATGTGTGATTGATGTGCACCTCAGAAGGACTCAGATAATTCTTGAAGCATACCAGGTTACTGGTATTTCGTTAAAACAGTGACCATGCATAATCTCTTGTGTTCCATTAACAGGAATCGGAGCCCCTCTGCTATGTGATACCCAGTACTTGCAACTGGCTCTGCACAGAGATGAACAGAGATGCTTTGTTAGCTCAAAATTTATAAGTCTGTGCTTTTGGCAGAGGGTCTCTCTCAGTGGCTCTGGAGCTTGAAGCAGCTGTGTTACACTGCATGATGACAGGCACGAAATTCTTAGTTAGCAGCAGATCTATGGTGCTATTAAATTTAAAATGAAAAATATTGTAACAGAAAAAATACAGTCTTGGTGTATGGGGGGGAATCCACTAAAAACTGCAAATCAAAAGCTATTAGGGCAACTGTGCAAAACTTCAATGACTGAAAATTGTAATGCTTTCAAAGTGTAAACAGCATTTCTTTGGGGAAATACACACTTTTTCCTACTAATCCAGCCCCACCTTTTCTTCATGTTTGCCTCTCTTGGGGTACTTTAGCACTTCCATTACCAAAAACTAGAATCAAGGAGAAACCACCTTGAAATTTACAGAACTTCTCCTTCCTCCAAGGAAATTTCCAAACCAGAATTTCCTGCTGAAAATTCTGAACCAATCAGCTGTGTGTGATCGCTAAATTACCCTACAAACTCTGCACTCTAGTGGCAGGGGCTTTCTCACGTGTCCGTGTGAAGCCTAGCTTGACACGGATCCATATTCCAGCTGGACGCGCCGTTTTCTAAGAACATTGTAAAACACGAAGAAATCGCTATCTCTAAAACAGAAGCCTGGTCGTGCTTCTAGCAAAACGAGGGGCAGCTCTGGCACCGACTTTGCAGGTGTCACGGTCCAGCAAGCGCCAAAGAAGAGTTACTGGCAGCCATTTGGAGGTGAGTTTGCCGCAGCGAGTAGCTGTGGTGAGGCGGGAGAGTCCCGAGGCTGCGGGGGAACTCCCCTTCCGCGATAGCGCTCGGTGAGAAAGCGCCGGGAGCGCACCTGGCCGGGGGCCGGGCCGGGGAGAGCGGCGGCGGCTCCGAACCGCGGAGGCTCCGAACCGGAGGACACACACGGAGCCCTCCCAGCAGGTACCG